GGGGTGGGGGAGGCTGAAGAGGAGGAGAGGGAGGCTGAACAGGGAAAGGGAGGGGCCCAAGTTAGGATAGGAGAGGTTGCAGGAGTCCAGACACTGGAGGCACAGGCTAGAGGAGGCCAAGGGTCTGAACTACAAGAGATCCTGAAGGTAGGTAGGGACAGGGAGAAAGCACAGGAAAGAGGGTATGAAACAGAGGGAGAGGCCTTTGTAGCAGAAACCCAGGAGCTGAATAGCAGCTCCAGGCCAGAAGTGGACATAGGCCTGCCATTGGGAAAGTCAGACATCAGAGAAACCAAGCATGGGGAGGTAGAGGCCACAGCGCCACGAGAGGCAGACAGACCACTCAGAAGAGGCTGGAGCCTGGAGGGGGTGGCTATGAGTCTCCAGGACATTGAAGACACACAGACAAGCGCCCTGGCTGCTGAAATGGTGGAGGATAAGGCAGATCTGGATGTAAGGGCTGCTGGGGAACAGACAGCTTGGGAGGGGGAGTCTGGGAAAAGATGGGACTTAGAAGGGAGAGGGGCAGAGAACAGGGGTGGGCAGGATTTTGGCTTAGAGTGCTCAGAAGAGGAAGAGATGGCTAGCAGAGATGGCCAAGCAGAGACTTCTGAGTCCAGAGAGGGAGAACCTGGGGGAGGGCAGGCAGAGGCTGGGGAATCTGTAGGGGCAGAAGGATACTGTAGGTTGGATCACCTGATCTCAGGCTCCCAGGCATGGAGCACAGAGATCAGAGCCACAGTGGAGTCTCAGGGGCTCCTGGGAGAGCAGATGCTATTGGAAGAAGAGGCTGGTGGGTGGCAAGCAGGAGAACAGAGAGAGGGCAGTGAGGGGAAGCATGGGGACCACCACCTCAAGGGGGAAGCACAAAGGCCTTCTAATAAGGAGGAGATGCAGATGGCTGCGGGACAGACAGCAACTGAGATGGATCCAGAAGAGCTGGGAGACATTGAAGATCAGGAGGAGCCAGTAAACCAGGACCCTGCAGAAGCTGTGCTGGGCCCATGCCGGGACACTGAGACCACAGAGGCCATGGGGAGTGACAGAGGGGATTCTCACAGCAACTGGAGTGAGGTGAGGCCTCTGATGGGTGGGGTCCAGGGCAGAATGGGGCAGAATTTCAAAGCCAGCTCCACAGTCTTCTGCACCCCCTTCCTTGCAGGCCCTGCTCCCTGGGTCCCGCCTGGATGTCTCTGTCCCCAGGAGCCGGGTGCTCCTCTCACGCAGCTCTTCACAGCGCCGCTCCCGGCCCTCTTTCCGTCGGACACCTGCCCCTGAGCAGCAGGAGGAGCCTTCTAACCCCCAGCCCCAGGAGGGGCTGTCAGCCCCTGAGCAGAATCTGCTTCAGTTGGAGGAATCCTCTGAGCCAAGGCCTCTGAGGCCTGAAGGGACCTCGGTGCGAGTCAAGAGAAGACCTCTTGGACATGGGTAGGCATGGGGTGACTGGGCTGGGATAGGGGATGAGGCTGTAAGCATCTGGGGCCAGGTTCCATGGGCCTATCTTCTACCTCCAGGTTTGGCCTTGCACACCCCGGCATGATGCAGGAACTGCAAGCCCGACTGGGCCAACCAAAGCCCCAGTGACTGGGACTCAACACCCTGAGAACCAGGCCCTGAGTAGGGGGGCAGAGGCTCACATGGACCTGCTCACCCCTAACTCCCTCTGCCAACCCTAGATGCACCTCTGGGTCTCAGTTTCTTAGTATGTCATTCATGGAGTGGACAAAACCAGACATTTGTGAAGACCTTGAACTTAAGAAATCTGCTTCTCCAATGCAGGCTGGTGGACCACCTAACCCACTGGGACCACTTCTCAGGTGCCTGCCCTGATTACCTCCCCAGCCTGTCTCAGCTGTCCAGAGACTGAATAGAGGACCAGAGGGATCAGAGACCATTCTATCTGCAGCCTTCCCTCTCTGGTCCCCCTCTACAGTCTACCCCCAACCCAAGCCCCTCAGATCTGTGGAGGAGTAACAGACCTCTGGGTGTGAAGCCAGCCCAAGAGCAAGGGTTTAGGAGGATCTCAGGAGCACCACGGGGATCCAGGGGGGGCTGCCCTGAGCTTCCAAAACAATAGCTTAGCCTCAGAGCTCTGCTGGCTACTATGGCAACCACTTAGCTGAACAGGCCAGAGTAGGGGAAGATGGATCAAGAACCCTAAGAAAGGATGATCAGAGAAGGATCCAGGGTGTGCAGAGGCTTCCATCTCTGCTTGAGGCCATGCTGACCTTTGGGTGTCAGGCAGCTCTTCCCTGAAAAGAAGCTAAGGCGGGGAGAGGGTGAGAGTGTTTTATTATGCGCCTAGTGTGGTGGCCAGGCCCCGAAACAATAAATAAACCATCATCTCCCTAAACAATAAATAAATATCCAAGAAATAAATAGTTGCCAAGGACTGGGGGACTTTAAGTTACTGGGTAGGGCCTGGGGCAGGGGGCTGGTAGGGCTCTGCCTTGTCTAAGGCATATGAGCTGGAGGCTGTCCTGTTGGCCAAGACTAAAGTCTTTAAAGTCTTAAAGGGTGAGTTGTAGAGGGCTAAGAAGTCCCTCCTTCAGGGCTGGTGGCCAGGTGTTGGGAACCGCAAGGGGGGGTCCCTGGCCTTGGACAGCAGCAGCAAGTCCCGCACAGCCCGAGATAAGACAAGCTCCAAGGAGCGCAGCAGCTGATAGGCGTAGAGCAGCCGGGGCCAGGACACCTGGGCTGGCATCTGTAGGGGGCTGCCTGGAGCCCCTTGGAACAACCCCTTCCTTTTCTCCTCCTCCTCTTCCTCCCTCTCCTCTTCCTCGGGGACATTGAATCCTGCAGCCAGCACCTATGAGGAGAGATCCATGGGTGAGAGAGCCGCCAAGCCCAGAGCCTGAGTGGATCCTTGTTTCTTACCTATGCCCAATGGCTCACAGTGACATCATTGACCATGAGGTCATGATTTCCCAGAACAGCCCCTAATTTACATCTTCCATGATGTTATAGTCTTATGTGTCCTACCTGATTTTTCAGTTCAAGAAAATGAAAGTCATGGAGCAAGATAATGCTCACATAGTTGGGTCACTACCTTGGGAGTGCCCTGGGGACTGGGGTTTAGGAAATTTCTCTCTGCTATTAAGGATTGTTTCAGGATCAGAAACGGACAGAAGAGTGACATGGCTAAGTTTCCATGCTGCTTGCATTTTCTATTCTCTTTTTATTAAGGGAAAAATTCCTGTTTCCCTTTGAGAGGTTCAGGAGGATCTGGGTGATGTCAGAGAGTCAAAGAGAAGGGAAGCAACTCCGCTCTAGGGCCTGCTGATGCCGGATGTGGTCCTAGGTCCTTCAGAGCTGTTCTTCCATTTATGATCAACCCCCAGGCTGGGCATGGGGGCTCACACCTATAATCCCAGTGCTTTGGGAGGTCAATGCAGGAGCATCACTTAAGCCCGAGTTGAAGACCAGCCTAGGAAACATAAGCAAGACCCTCTCTCTACAAAAAAATAAGGAAAAAATTTAGCTGGGTGTGGTGACACATGCCTGTCGTCCCAGCTACTTGGGAGGCTCAGGCGGCAGGTGACCCTTGAGCCCAGAAGTTTGACATTGGAGTGAGCTATGATCAAGCCATTGCACTCCAGCCTGGACAACAGAGTGAAACTCTGTTTCTGAAGAAGAAAGGAATTAAAAAAAAAGACCAATCCTGGGGAGAAAACAGAGATTGGTGATCATGGGGTAGCTCCAGGGCTCCAGGACCTGGTGCAGCTGTTCACACACGCACACTATCACCCAGACACCCCGTCATGCACATTCACACATGCTCATTCTCACACGCACACTCAGAGCATCTGGAGCAGCTCCCTCCAGACTTCCAAGCCTGTGGGAAGTGGGTTTTTTTTTTTTCTTTGAGACAGAGCCTCAAACTGTCCCCCTGGGTAGAGTGCTGTGGCATCACAGCTCACAGTAACCTCCAACTCCTGGCTTAAGCGAGTCTCCTGTCTCTGCCTCCCAAGTAGCTGGGACTACAGGTGCCCGCCACAATGCCTGGCTATTCTTTGGTTGCAGCCATCGTTGTTTGGCAGGCCCGGGCTGGATTTGAACCCGCCAGCTCAGGTGTATGTGGCTGGCGCCTTAGCCACTTGAGCCACAGGCGCCGAGCCAAGTGGGGTGTTTTTAAAAAGGAGCCAATGAGCCTCAATCCTGTGTGTTGGCCCCTGGGATGGGGAAGGGTGGTGGGCATGCTACCTGGAAGCGGAGATGTTGTTGCAGATCCCGGAGGTCCAGCTGCATAGTCCACAGCCTCATCCTTTCCGAGCTGCTCCAGCCTCCTTGGCTCCCCAGTGCCCCTAGCAGGGTATGGAAGGGCTCAAGCACCGTGGAGAGGAAGCAGAGTCGTTCTGGGTCCTATTGAATGGGAGGGAAAAGATCATGAAAGGTCCATGGGCTAAGGATGACACATGTCAAACACAAGCCCCTCTCTGTCTGGGTCTCATTCCCATTCCATAATTCCCACCTATGTCTACCTTATCCCTCTTCTGACCCTTTGCACCACTCCCATCCCCACCCCCTCCTGTGTTCTTATTTATTTATTTATTTTATTGAGCCACAGTCTCACTTTGTCACCCTCTGTAGAGTGCTATGGAGTCACAGCGCACAGCAACCTCAAACTCTTGGGCTTAAGCAATTCTCTTGCCTCAGCCTCCCAAGTAGCTGGGACCACAGGCACCCACTACATGCCTGGCTATTTTTTGGTTGCAGTTGTCATTGTTGTTTAGCTGACCCAGGCCAGGCTGAAACCTACCAGCCTCCGGTGTATGTGGCTGGCACCCTATTCACTAAGCTACAGGCACCAAGCCAATATTTTTTTATTTTTTGAGACAGAGTCTCAAGCTGTCACCCTGGGTAGAGTGCTGTGGTGTCATAGCTCACAGCAACCTCATGCTCTTGGGCTCAAGCGATCCTCTTGCCTCAGTTTTTCTATTTTTAGTAGAGACAGGCTCTCACTTTTTGCTCAGGCTGGTCTCAAACTCATGAGGTAAAGCAATCCACCCACCTCAGCCTCCTAGCATGCTAGGATTACACATGTGAGCCACCACCATGCCTGGCCCCTTCCTGTATTATCATCCGCATTTCTGCTGCCCTTGATCTCTGCCCACCTCCTCTTCCAGCACCTGCTCCCCAACCCCATGCAGCCTATCCATCCAGCACTGCTGCTACAGTACTCTCCATCTGAGCCCCTTCCATCCCCTTCTCCACTGTTCCATTCTACCTCCTGCTCACCTGTTTTCATCCCATTTTTACCCTCATTCCCATTCCTAATCCCAGATCCATCATTCTCCCCTTCTTTCTGTCTCATCTCCAATCCATCCCCAGCCCCATTCCTTTCCCATGCTTAGCTTAGCCCTTAACCTCTTCCTAACCCCACTTCCTTGTTCCAGCTCCATCTTTACATCAGCAACACACTCTACTTCATCCAGATGCTACGCCCAACTTTCTTCAGCTCAATCCTCAACTTTGTGTCCACATGCCCCAGCCTGGCAGCTCCCACCCCACACTGTACCACCCCCACTCACGGAGAGGCGGTGCCAAGCCTGGAAGGTCAAGGAGACGTTGGGAAGCTGCTCTCCCAGGGGTAGGAGGTCCAGGCTCACTCCTGGCAGGTGAGATTGAGCCTGTGGGGCAAGTTCTGTTAATGGAGGTCAGAGGGGACTTCGACTGTGCCCATGCCCAGAGCTCGCTGCATTAGGGAAACTCACAAAGAGGTGGGCATGGCCTTGAACCTCAGAAAGCAGCTTCCTGGCGAGGTGCAGGCTGACCGTGAACTCCCTTTGCAGCTCCTGCAGGCTCAGGGGGGACCTTGGGAATCCCCAGACACCAGCATGCACCAGGAGCAAGGACAGCAGCAAAAGGCTGAGCCCTAAAGAAATGGAGATGAGGTGGATAAGACAAAGGGAGAAGTTGAGAACTCAGGGGAAGGGATGTGCCTCTTGTGAGTCCACACTATGCATGAGCACTGAGCAGGCACATTTCACAGGCATCTGCCTGCTGCCCCCTCAAAATCACCATGGGGCAGTGAAGGCCACCAAGTGGCATCTCTGCACAGAGTGCCCACCTCTGCGAGCAGACTAGAGGCTGGATATTGACACTGCCCCCCGCCCCCAACTCCCTCAGCCAGTGAACAACCTGCACAACTGGACATAGTAGCTCAATGTTTTTATTCTCTCCACTTTGCAGATAAAGAAAACAAGGCTCAATAAAGTTGATTTGCCCAAGATCAGATAGTCAGAGGGTGGGGGAGCCAGGACTGGATTCTAGTTCTTTCCAAATGCAAAGCCCATGTACTTTCCCCAGGGAATGCTGAAGAGGCAGCCACCTGCCCAAGGATTGGGCACACCCTGTTCTGTTAAGGATTCCTTAGGCTCAGCCAGGCGGCTCTGATGGCTTGAAATGGCCCTTAGGGCCTCAGAAGTGGGATGGCAATGTCAGAGGCTCTATCCCAGAGAGTCAGAAGAACAGGTTAGTCCACCCTCCACCAAGGCAGGGGGGTCACTGTGCAGTGGAACCTGTCTGAGGCCAATCTACAGTATGGAAGAGGGAGGGTTGGGGAGGATACCAGGAGGGGGAGAAGGGCCTAGAAGCTCTGCTTCTCATCCTGGTCTTCTCTTGTGCCTCAGGCTCCCATCTCTAAAATGAGATAGCCAGAATAGCTGATTTCTGAAGGTACTTCCTGCCCTATGTTTTCCTGGAAAGAGGAAAGAAGGGCAATGGGGTGGGAACTCAGGGGAGAGGGCAGTGTTCAGCAGTTTCTCCCTCAGGGAGAGGAAATCTAGCCATCAGAAGAGTTACACAATTCTCCTTGAAACACAAACCAAAACTGGCCCTAAGTCCATCCCTGCTCTCTTGCTGTCCATTCTCAATTTCTAACCCCTGAGCTCTGCTCCTGAAACATCTTAATAAAGGTTATGGAAGCCTCTAGGACAGTGGCTCTCAACCTTCCTAATGCCTCGACCCTTTAATACAGTTCCTGTGGGTCGTGACCCACAGGTTGAGAACTGCTCTAGGAACATTCATTTCTCTTATGGATTTACAGAGGTGATGGGAAATGCCTAAGACCTTTGGCATTCAGCTTCCCTAGCTTGGGCCACTCTGACCCTCTGACATCTAGGAGACTTAAGGCAGAGTGAGGTTTTTCCTAGTTCTATGTTGGAGACAGAATGGGTACCCTAGGCCCTGGTGGATATTGCCAATCCAGCATTGAGCTGAGCCATCTCATACCTATCCCGCCTTCCTGCCTGAGCTCTGGAGCCCTCAGGCCCCTCTCCCTACCCTCTGTGACCAGTCCTGGGTCCTTGGAACTGGCCTTTGAAGGTTCTGTCTCCATCCTGTAGCTGTTAGCTCCTACCTGGCCATGTTACCTGCTCCTCTGCCTACAACTCTGAGCCTAACCCCTGAGTTATTCAGTCACCAACTGCAGAGTCCTCTTTCCAAGCTGAGCACCCTGTTATGCTACTGACTGTTGGCATCAGTGCACCCCTCATGCCAGCTCCTTGCGCTGCTCTTCCTCTAGCTGACCCCAGTCCTCTGTCTTAGCCAAGCTATCTGGCCCCTGTTCATTCACTCCAGACTTCATTTATCTGCCTAGTCCTGGTTCTGGTCAAGCTGCCTATCCAACTCTCCTCATTCATGCTGGCAAAGGCTTCCCATCCTCTGCCTGGCCCTGGTCAAACCACCACCTATCCCTTCCCCACCTTCCCTCCTCATTCGTGCCAAATTGTCCCATCCTCTGCCCAACCCTGGGTCCAACTGCTATCCTATTGCTCCAGACCCCCACCCCAGTCATGCCGGCCTCGTTGTCCTCCTCTAGCTGACCCCAGTGTTCAGTCCCCATTCACAGTGGCCAAGCTTACCCATCCTCTGACAGTCTCAACCAAGTCCCCACCCTCTGCCTCAAACTTACGCCAGCCAAGGTCGCCTGCCATCTGGCCCAAGTCGGGGCCCAGCCTTTTTGGCCAGCCATCTCCTGGGTCGGGGGGGTCTTATACTGGGGGTTGCACCCAGTTTCACTTTCCGTCCTGCTTGTACTTTCAGCTTTGTATTCACTCAGTCTTCCCTCCTCACCACCCCTTGCTAAAATGGGGAAATGTAATTTCCCTTCCCAGAGGGGGTGGGAGTTATGGTGGGGGGTGACGGGAAGCTAAGGTTTCGGTCAATCCAAGTTCCAGAGCTACTGCTAAGTTCCTGGGTCCAGCCCTCTCTCAATTCCCCACTCTTGGTTAAGTCACAGGCTCTATTCACTGGGAGATCCCAGAGACTCAAACCCCCTCCTGCTCCTTGCCCTGCTATCATCATCCTAGGGCCATTACCAGCCCACTGTCTTTCAAAAGATGGATGGCCAGGTAAGCAGATCGCCCACCAGAGGGGACTTGGAATTTTGAGTCACTCCAATTCTCTCCTTGTTTACCATATAACTGAGGGAGGGTCATGAGGGAAGGCAGAGCTCAATGCGTGGCTGGGATGAGTCTGGGTACCAAGCAGAGACTCAGTCTTATGGTGCCTGGACTGGGATTGAAGCTCAGTTCATAACTATGGTCAGGGCAGGAGAAGACCAGGTCTGAGGTCATGTTTGAGACCAGGGTTAGGACTACAACCAGGGCCAAGGGCTCAGTCTTTGGCCATAGTCAGATGTAGGATTAGAGCACAGTCTATAACCAGAGCCTGGACTCGTTCTAGGGTCGAACTCAGAGCCTAGTCTCGGGCAAATGTCCTGGCTCTGTATATGTTTGGGGTCAGAGATATCAATGACCTAGGGCTGTGCTTGTGGTGTCAGGGTTGGGCTCAGAGCTCTGTTCAGATTTGGAGCAACACAGTCTATGGCTGTGGCTGCCACTCAACTGAGGGCTCAGGCTCAGTCTAGGGTAGGATATTGGTCAATGACTAGGATCAGGGCTCATCCTGTGGCCAGACTGGGGTTGTATGAGGTCAGGATCAAGGCTTATCCAGGACCCACAATAATCTTGGTGTTTCTACTCTGTAGAGACCACTGTCAGGGCTGGGTGGCTGCAACCACAGAGCTCCCTTTCAGCCCAGCCCTGCCCTGGATTTCCCATCTTAAGAGAGAGGATGGGGTTTCTTGGTCTTCCCCAAGGCCCACTGCTGCCACTTTCCTTTTGGGACCTGTGGGGTTTCCCAATTGGGTCCCTGCTGTGAGATAGAAACTGGGGGGGCTTCCCCTGCCTGCTCCCTGCCTCCTCAGCACTCCCTCCCTGGGCTCTGCACACCAGTGCTGCTAGGACCAACTACCAGGGAAGTACCAGCATCTGCCCTGGAGGAGCCCTGCAGGGCAGCAGTGGGAGGATGGGGAAGCAGGGCTGGAGCCCCCAGAGGAGCTGCACAGTGCTCCCTGCAGTGTCCCCCCAGTGGTGGCAGCTCACTGGGGTGGAGGATCCCACACATCTGAGACTGATGGTGAGAACATTGGTCTGGCTTGTCTCATATACATCCCCAAGTCCTGCCGTCATTCTGGAAGCATGCCAAACTCAGCCCCTCATCTACACAGATCCTCCCTCTGTTCTCTCCACAGTCCCTCCTACCCTCTGGTAGCACCCAGAGCTATGTCTTTCAAATCTTGAACCTCATCTCACACTCTCTGATTACAGCCTCCTGGCCCTCCAAAACCCTCCCAGGGCTCCCGAAGACCTCATCTCGTGCTGCTCCTCTGCCCTTCTGAAACTGGCTGCAGCAGACTCACCCTCATCCTCTTCCAGCTCCAGCGATGTTCTACTCATGTGTCAATGAGATGAGCCACCTCATATTTTCTTGCCTATGCACAAGCTGTTCTCTGCCTGGAATGCCATCCTGCCTTCTCTGAAGTTCCCTTTCCTGCACCCAAACTCTCTGTTGCTGGCTCATCCCTTTCTGCCATAAATCTTACCTCAAATGGACATATCATATTTTTAAAATCTTGTTTACTCTGACTTTGCCACACCACCCCTGCCATACACATGCCAAGCACACTCCTACCTCAGGGCCTTTGCACTTGCTATTCCTTCTGCCTGAAGCTCTCTTCTTCCAGTTATCTACAAAGCTCACTCTCTCCTTAATATCTTTGCTCAATCTAGGTGTAGTGGCATGTACCTCTAGTCCCAGCTACTTAGGAGGCTGAGGCAGGAGTTTGCAGCTGCAATGTACTATGATAGTGCCTGTGAATAGTCACTGACTGCACCCCAGCCAGTGCAACTTAAGATCTTAAAAAAAAAAAAAAAAAAAAACCCTCAAATGTTACCTTCCTACTAAAACCCTGCTCTTGAAACCTTCTATCCCCTTCCCTGCATTATTTTTTGCCTGGCATTTATATATTTTAGATAGCTAACATTTGCCCTTCTTTTTTAGTTTGTCTGTCGTGCATTAGAATATAGGTTCCACAAGGGTGAGAATTTTTTTTTTTTTTGAGAGCCTCAAGCTGTCCCCCTGGGTAGAGTGCTGTGGCATCACAGCTCACAGCAACCTCCAACTCCTGGGCTCAAGCGAGTCTCTTGCCTCTGCCTCCCAAGTAGCTGGGACCACAGGCGCCCGCCACAACGCCCGGCTGTTTTTTGGTTGCAGCCGTCATTGTTGTTTGGCGGGCCCAAGCTGGATTCAAACCCGCCACCTTGGGCCTATGTGGCTGGTGCCTTAGTCATTTGAGCCACAGGCACCAAGCCAAGGGTGAGAATTTTTGCCTATTTGTGCACCAGTGTGTCCCCAGAAGCCAGGAATGGGAAGGTCTTAATAAATCATTGTTGGCAGTGCGTGATGGCTCATACCTGTAATCCTAGCACTCTGCGAGGCTGAGCTGAGAGGATCACTTGAGGCCAGGATTTGAGACTAGCCTGAGTAAGAGCAAGACCCCCTCACTACAAAAATAGAAAAATTATCTGGGCATCATGGTGGGCACCTGTATTCCCAGCTACTTCGTAGGCTGAGGCAGGAGGGTCACTTAAGCCCAAGAGTTTGAGGTTGAAGTTGCAGTGAGCTATGATGACACTATTACACTCTAGCCCAGGTGATAGAACAGACCCTGTCTCAAAAAACAAAATATCATTGTTGAACAAATCTGTCTTCTGCCATAAGTGCCTGATCCAGGTTCTGCTTATGCTGATGACATGTGATAAGTTGCCTGGATGCGGTGGCTCCTATGGCTCAAGGAGTAGGGCACTGGCCCCATATACCAGTGGTGGGTTCAAACCCGGCCCTGGCCAAAAACTGCAACAACAACAACAAAGTTGCCTGGATGAACCAAATCTGGGACTAACCTAAGCCCTGGGTTTCACTGTCATCCTTGCACTCAGCACAGACTCTGGCCGGGGTGGGAGGGGACCTAGGCTGCTGGGCATGGGACCCAGTGGACCCTTGGTAAGAACCCAGAGGACCAGTGAGAACAATGCCAGCCTTTGTCTGTATTCTTGGAGGATGGGTCTAGACTAGCCTCTGGCTACCTGGGTGTCATTTCTACTGGTAGGTCTTGGCTGATGGACTAAGGCTTGGGTTGGTGCCAGCAAGAAACAGGAGGGATACAGTGAGGGCGAGAACTGGGAGAAAGGAAACCAGGAAGCCTGGGCTGTGGACTCCAGTGTAGAGCTAACATTTCTGGCAACCTCAGGTAAGTCATTGGCCTGGTTTGGACTTAGATTTTTCATTAAAAAGTGATATCAAGAGGCTGGGCACAGTGGCTCATGCCTGTAATCCTAGCATTTGGGAGGCCCAGGTGGGTAGATTGCCTGAGCTCAAGGGTTTGAGACCGTCCTGAGCCAGGGTGAGACTCATCTTGAAAAATAGCCAGGTGTTGTGGCAGGCACCTATAGTCCCAGCTACTTGGGAAGCTGAGGCAAGAGAATCCCTTGAGCCCAAGAGTTTGAAGTTGCTGTAAGCTATGACACCATGGCACTCTACTGAGGGTGACAAAGTGAGACTGTCTCAAAAAGAAAAGTGATATCAATTTTCAAATGATGCCACTATTATTATGAAGAGAAATTAAAACCTGGACCAAAAAAAAAAAAAATTAGGCAGGAGGAACCTATCCACCAATTTTTCTGGTTATTTTCCAAGGACTGCTAGAGCTCTGATCCTGTAGGGCTCTCCATGGACTTGTGTAGAAATCCTAAGCTCAGGGGCAAAAGTTAGATGCTTCAGATGTGACATCAGAGGGAATCAGAGAGGGAAAGTTTTTTTTAATTTTTTTTTTTGAGACAGAGTTGGCTTGGTGCCTATGGCTCAAGTGGCTAAGGCGCCAGCCACATACACCTAGGCTGGGTTCGAATCCAGCCTGGGCCCGCCAAAACAACAATGAAAGCTGCAACCAAAAAATAGCCAGGCCTTGTGGTGGATGCCTGTGGTCCCAGCTACTTGGGAGGCTGAGGCAGGAGACTCGCTTGAGCCCAGGAGTTGGAGGTTGCTGTGAGCGTGATGCCACAGCACTCTACCCAGGGGGACAGCTTGAGGCTCTGTCTCAAAAAAAAAAAAAAAGAGAGAGAGACAGAGTCTCACTCCATCCCTTTGGGTAGAGTCCCATGATGCCATAGCTCACAGCAACCTCATGCCCTTGGGCTCAAGCAATCCTCTTGCCTCAGTTTTTCTATTTTTAGTGGAAAGGAGGTCTCACCCTTGCTCAGGCTGGTCTCAGACTCCTGAGCTCAAGCAATCCACCTGCTTCAGCCTCCCAGAGTGCTAGGATTATAGATGTGAGCCACCACTCTCAGCCCAGAGAGAAAAAGTCTTGTTCAAGGTCATACAGCAGACCAGCAACAGAATGAAGACTAAACCTGAGTTGTCTGTTTTCAGCCTGGGTTCATCAGGGGAATCCCTGCCCTCTGTGATGTCAGCTCCAAGGCCTGGAACTAACCTGTTGGGGAAAGATGGTGTGCTGTAAAGGCAGAAAAACTGGGAGGAGGGAAGGCCCAGATAGAGGCCTCATCTCAGGAGCTCCCAAGCCCAGGTGGTGTGACCCTGAGGCTGGGCCAGGAGAGGGCAGGCAAGGCTCATGGTGCCACCCCGATTGCTGGGCCTACTGCCTTTATGCACAAGTAGTTCACTCCATGCCTGGCCTGGGCTCCACCAGCACTTACTTTGCAGAGTGTGCTTGTGGCAGCAGCAAGGGGCTTTAGTGTCTGGCCCCCTGCTGTCCACCTCAGGGTGGGGGTGGGGGTGCCCCAAAGGTGGCACCTATCATGTAACCAACAATAGTGAATCTGGTGAAGGAAAAAGGGCTTCTCTCCTTTGGTCCACTTCATTTTTTCTCCCTGTAAGGGAGGCACTGTGTACCCTGCTGCTCTCACAACTCCGCAGGCACCTGGCGAGGACTGAAAGGAGGAGGGTAAGGGTAGTAGATGGCCGGTGAATCAGGCTAGAAAGACTGAGCTACCCCAGGGTGAGGGGAAGGTGGGAAGCTAGGTCGGCTGAGTGCTGGGAAGGAAGAGTTCAACCCCAAGAGGCAGGGCCTGCAGAGGAAAAACACCAACCTAGGAATGAAAAGTCCCGATTCAAGTCCCGGCTCTGCTCTGCCCTTTCCTCTGTGCATCCTCTTGGGCAAGACAGCTAAACACTCTGAGCTTCAGTTTCCCCGTTTGTAAAATGAGGCCCACCTCTC